TCCCCCTTCCCACTCCCGGTGACGGGGGAGCTGCGCAGACAGCGGCATGATGACGTCATGGTAGTTTGCTCGTTTCTTTTTGGGGAGTTCTATCCACTAGTTCGGCATTAGGTAGCAATTTTAACCAGAATAGGGGTTTGTTTTGGGACGCTTACCTTTCTGGATGCTTGACCCGGTCGATGGTAGACATAGAATGCTTCCAACCACACGGGGGTTTCTATAGGCCATTGCTCCTCTTGCCTCTTTGAGGGGGCCAGGTTCTGTCCGTGGTCCCCGGTAGGCCCACAGAACTCCATACACATGACTGATGCCAAAGTCTGACATTAGCATATCAGCCTGGTATAGCTCCGGGGAGCCGATGGGGCTTCTCCCAGAAAGGTAGCTGTCATGACTGCAAGAAAAAATACAGGTTGGATAACAAGAACCTTTCAAACAAGGAATGCCATACCAGTGATTACCTTTCAAGAAATAAGTTTATTTCTTTGTTGTCATCTGTGAAGGTTCCATCACCCTTGCCTAAGGGCCCAATGCTGGATGTAGTTTTTGTTCTTGTTTTTACATACGAGAAAAAGTATTTTGGGTTCCTCTCCATTTCACTTATGGCATTTTGCTCTCTTTGCCTTTCTTGGATTTGATGCAATTTTTTCCGCTTCAGCTCAATCATTTCTATTTTCCCTACACAGTCTTCCTTGTCGTCGTTGGGATAGAGTGGAGCATTTGAGATGTTCTACAATTTGTTTTCTTCGGCGATAGAGGGAGCGCTGTTCCCGTTCTAGTTTGCATCTTTTTCTCTGTTTTTCTTAGTGGTACAGGCATACCTCAGAATGCGAGTTTAATCCGTTCCTGGAGACGCCTCGCCTTCCGAAAACTCGCATTCCGAAGTGAATTTCCGCATAAGAAATAAAGGGAAATGAATTAATCCGTTCCTGACTACCCCAAAAACCCCACATCAAACTAAATTTTTATACCTAATTTACCTAATTCATCTAAATAAACCTACAAAACTATGTTCCAGTTATTACTTACCTTACTGTCGAGTGCTGTAGGCGTATGGAAGATGGTGAGGAGGGGGGAGGAGGAGAGGAGTTACTGTTTGGAAGGGGAGTCCCCTTCCATAATCACATCAGGCAGTGAGGACCTTTCTGGTGTGCTCTCCCTGGGACGTTTAACCTGAGTGCCACTAGGTCCTGGTTGAGGCTCACTGCTCGATTTCTTCACCAAATATTTGTCCATGGAAGCTTGCTTTTCCCTTCTTTGCAAGCTCTCTCTGTAGTAAGGCATCACATTGTCATTGAAAAGATTAAGACAACGGCCTACTACAGCTTTGTCTGGGTGAGTATGTTCAATAGATGTTTGAATCTCTTCCCACATCTGACACACCTTCTTAATTACTGCAGAAGGGACATTCGCTGGTGCTGCTGCCACCACCTCCTCCTCCACTGCAGAATCATTAGCTGCTGTGTTGGCTTGCTGTTCCTGTTGAAGGGCTAGGAGTTCTTCGGTGGTCAGTTCTTCGTTGTGTTCTTCCACCAACTCCTCCACATCATCACCATCCAATTCCAAGCCCATTTTCTGGCCTAGACTAACAATTTCCTCAACAATAGGCGCATCATTTATAGGCTCAAACCCCTCAAAGTCTAGTTCTCTCACACCTTCAGGCCACAATTTTCTCCAGCCAGAGATCAGGGTTCTTTGAGTCACTTCTTGCCAGGCTTTGTCAACGAGTTTTAAAGCACTAAAAATGTTAAAATGCTCTCTCCAGAACTCTTTGAGGGTGAGGTTTGTGGCTTCAGTCACTTCAAAACATTTCCGGAAAAGTGCCCTTTCATACAGTTTCTTAAAATTCGCTATGATTTTCTGGTCCATAGGCTGAATTAGAGGAGTGGTGTTAGGAGGAAGGAATTTAACTGTGAGGAATTTATTGTATTGAGGCATCAAATCATCTTCCAAGCCTGGAGGATGAGCAGGAGCATTGTCAAGGAGAAGCACGGCTCTGAGTGGCAATTGTTTCTCCTGCAGATATTTTTCTATGGCAGGGCACAGCACTTCATTCACCCACTCCGAAAAAATAAGCCTAGTCACCCATGCTTTTTTATTAGACTTCCACATCACAGACAAACGGGTTTTCTGCACATTATACTGTTTGAAAACCCTTGGATTTTCAGAATGATACACTAGCAAGGGTTTAATTTTTAAATCGCCACTCGCATTTGAACACAGCACAAGCGTAAACCTATCTTTCATAGGCTTGTGTCCAGGCAAGGATTTTTCCTCCTTGGTAATGTATGTCCTCTTAGGCATTCTTTTCCAAAACAGTCCTGTTTCGTCACAATTAAACACTTGTTGCGGTAGGTATCCCTCAGCCTGTGCAAACTCTTTAAATTCGTCAATAAATCGTCCAGCGGCTGGTTTGTCTGAGCTGGCTGCCTCCCCATGCCTTGTAACACTATGGATACCACTTCTCTTTCTAAATTTTTCAAACCAGCCCCTGCTTGCCTTAAACTCTTTCTTATCTGCATCACTCGTTGCAGGGGTCTTCTTTAGAAGGTCTTCGTGCAACACCCTGGCTTTCTCAGAAATAATGGCCTCCGAAACACTATCACCCCTCAACTCCTTGTCGTGTATCCAAATTAATAACAACTTTTCCACTTCTTCAAGTATTTGTGGTCTTTGTGCCGTTAATGTTCTTACTCCTTTTGCCACATTAGCACTCATAATCTTATTTTTCTTCTTAAGTATAGTGCATATTGTTGATGTCGCTTTGTTGTACTGCCTACAAAGATCAACAACACGTGTACCGTTCTCATGCTTTCGAATGATCTCTTGTTTCTCCTCTATTGTCATCCTCACATGAGCTTTCTGGCCTTTATCCTTACCACTGGCTTTCTTGGGACTCATGGTGAGATATATAATAACAAATTGTATAGACAAATCACCAAAAATCCAACAAAACACTGAAAATTCACGACAAGAATTGATGTGGGGGTAGTCACTGCGCGCGAGACAATGGTGAACTGAGGGGCAGCGGGGCAGAGGGGCGACGATCGCCGAACGACCACGCGCTAGGTCGGCTGTACGCGTATCAACAAACTCGCGTTCAAACTCGACTCCCGAAGTAACCATCGCCTTCTGAGACAAATTTTTGGAGTAAATACACCTCGCCTTCCGAAAATCTCGCATACAGGGACAATCGCATTCCGAGGTACCACTGTATATATATATGCTTTCTACATATTTATAGTGCTACTGTGCCTATTTTCTCGAAGCACTGGTTTAAATCTGCATTACGTGGTTGTTCTTCCCAGCATTAGTCTGCTAGGTCTTGGTTTATTCGTTCCCTGCAATGGTGCAAGCAGGTTTGCAACCAACCATTGAATATCAGATTCCAGGACAAGTGATAGTTTGATTGGCAGATTTAAACTGAGGCACAACATCATGACATGGACAACTGTTGGTGAAAAATTTTGTGCAGCCTCAGCCACTGACAGTCAGAATTGACCTTGCCAAGCTTATGTAACAAAATTTTTGTGTTGCATTGTCTTAGGTTAGGTAAACAACATTGAAGTCCTTCATCGAGTAAGCTGACAAATTCAAACAAGGGAAGTTTCTAAATTTCTACTGTCAAAACATTACTAGAGTACTGTTTGTACTTTAAGTATATGAAGATTGTCCCCTGACAATGTACATTTAGGTTTAATACATGTGGAAATTACCAACTGTGTTGGTTGTAGTACAAAAAATTACATGTTCATTTTTGGAATTTTCCAGTAAAAAATTTGACAAATATGTGTCCAGCTAACTTATAGAGAGGTGAGCCTCATATGATTATTGAGCATAGACTTGATCTCCAAATATTCAAGAATCATCTTCAGAGCACAATCTTAATTTCCTTACCTTGCTGGAAAATATTTCCTTTTAAATTACCAAACTCAATCTTGAGACATTCTTTTTCTTGTTCTAATTTAATTACCCTTTCTTCATATTTCTTTAGCATGTCCTCAAGAATTATTAACCTGCCAAGAAAACCACCTTTCATTACATGTTTTTGAGAGAAACCTGCAAAATATTCCTTTGATGGGGTACTGTCCTCCCCAGTGGTGGTGGCCATTTTTGTTGACATTCTGCTGTTTTGAAAGTTCAACTTTCCTACCATAGATTTTTCATTCACTAACACTTATTTCTTATCTTAGTTTCTTTTCAAATTCCCTACACCTTCATGTATTCTGGGACACCACTTGCAGCCCTCACCCTACTCTCAACACTTAGATAATTTGAATTCTCCTGGAGCCTGCAGCAGTGTGACTCCTCAGTGTGTTGCTCCACTCCACTCCACTCCATTTGTGCCCACCATAGCGAACCACTAAGCTGGTATGGTGATTCTAAAGAATAACAGATGGCCTTACAGAGTGAGCAGACAAAGCTACCTACCTTCCTCCCTCCCTCAGCATCTCTGTTCCCACCATACTATGCACAGCGCTAAATGTCACCATAATTCTGCTATTATCAGAATCCTGGTAATTTTTATCACAGTCAAGGGTCTTCTATAATACTATCATTGCTAAATAATACCAGTTACATATATATTTTGACATTTTTAGGCGATGATGTGGTCACAAGCTGAACAGCATTGCCGTTAACTGACGTTCTCCAACCTTGGTTGCTCACTCAGTACTGAGGCTCTTACACCCGGGAATGTTGCCCACAATTTTTTTTTTTTACAATGGCATCTGTTTACAAGAGCCCTGATGAAGCTGATGTGAACCCCGTGTAGCCTAGACTTTTAAATCTTGCATGGTACTCCAACACGTCAATACCTGTGGTGTGCAATTCTGCAACAGTTACTCACCACAGCTATTGATGTGTTGTGCAGTTAAAGGGTTAAATTAATATTACGAACTTCTTAAACAGCAAAATTCCACGATCATACTTTGCATCATGTCACCACTTGAATTAACACAGGATTGTTTTTAGAATAAACGTTATGTTTATTTTTTTTCCAGGAAACTGTTGGTTTAGACAGTGGTGCTGCTTCACCTAAGAGCAGTGTATCAAGCAGCTCTGTAGATGCCCATCTTGTCAACCTTAGATTGCAACCCATACCTGAAGAAGTTCGTGCCCTTATTCCCAATCGTATGAATGCTTCCTATGATGATCTGTCTCTTGCGGGTACTACAAGGTAATTTTTTTTTGTTCATATGTTTGGGTATAATGTGGACCACTATTTTACTGACCATTTATTATAATTTGGGATAGACTTTTGCTATCCATTTTACCCATATAACATGTTGAATACTCTTCTTTGCACCAATGCTTTCTTAGGCTTAATTGCACTATACTGCTGTATTACAGTACAGTATATGTTGATCAGTCAAGTTTTTTTTTTATTTGTGTTTCTTGTTACTAGTACAGTAAGGGTCTCTCTAGTACAGTGGGGATACTTTTTCAACTTGATAGAGGATCCCGGGTTTGGTCCCTGGGGAGGACAGAGATGCTTGGACATGTTACCTTTCACATTGATGTCTCTGGTCACCTAGCAGTAAATAAGTAACCAGGTGTTAAGGAACTGTTGTGGGGTTGTAACTTGTGGAGGGTCAGTATGTAGTGATCTATGCTCAGACCATTGCTTCTCCCCTTTCTCCTGGCCTTCATTTGTCTTCCCCTCTCTTGTTCATCCCTCCCCTTATTTTCTTCCCCCTCCCCTCCCATGTCTTACAGTCCAGCCTTCACCAGTCATGAACCATGAAGTCAAAGAGACCCCTGGAGGCTGGACAGTCGCTCTCTTGGCCCTCTCTGTGCCCACTCCATTCCCACTCATTTCTCTCTCTCTACCCCCACTCTTTCTCCTCTCCCTTGCCTTCCTATAGCTATTGACAAATTTGAGGGGCAGTAAACTCAGCCGGTGCCATATACATACTCCCTGCCCCGGGTTTCCCTGGGATGTGAGCGTGGGAACGATAGCCTCCCTGGGGTTGTCAAAGGAAATTGTCATCAGTGTGTCTTGGGCTTGACTGGGATACAGGTTTATGACCTGGAGCGCAGCCATTCAACATCTGGTGCCGGTTTTACAGGATAAGGTAAAGTGTGCTTGAGTATTATGTCGATCACTGAGTCAGACCATTGCCTCTTGGGAATTTAGAGTAGGTATATTTCATTTGATATCAATAAATATGTCAAGTAATAAATACAGTGTTTATTAATGTGTTTTGTGGTTTAGTATCTGTTCCCCTTATGTTATTAATACCGAATCATTATAGTTCTTAAATTCCTTTCCACATAATTTGTAAGTTGTGTGGGGTCTATTTTCTCTGTTTCTATATTCCATAACTTGGCATTTATTCACATTGAATTCCACTTGCCAAATGTTGCTCCAAGCACTTATTTTATCTAGATCAATTTAAAGGGCATGGCAATTGTCTGCATCTCCTATCTTCTCCAGTATCTTATCATTACCAACCATAGTAGGGTTATCTTGAGATGATTTTGGGGCTTAGCGTCCCCTCAGCCCGGTCCTCGACCAGGCCTACTTTTTGTTATACACCCCCAGGAAGCAGCCCGTTGCAGCTGTCTAACTCCCAGGTACCTATTTACTGCTAAGTAACAGGGGCATCAGGGTGAAAGAAACATTTTGCCCATTTGTCTCTGCCTCCACCGGGGATCGAACCCTAGAACCTCGGGACTATGAATCCGAAGCGCTGTCCACCCAGCTGTCGGGTGCCCATGGATGTTCATGTTACCATGTTCATGTAATTATGTATGCCTTTTGGTAGAGCATTAATGTTGACGAGAACATTATTGATGCAAGAACTGAACCCTGTGGTACTCCCCTAGTAACACTCCTCCAGTCAGATATATTGCCTCTGATTACGTCCCTCATCTGTCAGTCAGTTAGACAATTTTTCATCCATGTCAGAAGTATCCCTGTCACCCCTACAGCATGTTCCAGTTTCCAAAACAACCTCTTGTGTGGGACTCTGTCAAAAGCCTTTTTTTTTTAATTATACGTCCAGATACACAGTCACCCCAACCATCTCTCTTCTGTTTACATAATTTCTCCAATAAATTGCTTGCGATAACTAGTGTTTAACGACGGGCGGAGGCACTCCGTTGCCTCCACCCGTCGCCACTCATTTTTCTCTTGAGTCGTCTCAGACGACAAGGTCCCGAGTCACTCATTAAAATATTTGTTACAAATTTACATTTTATCCGATCAATCTGGGAGAGGTTTCAAAATGAGCATGTTTAGATTGCGCACAATTTAATACCAAAATGAAAGACGTAACACGAAAATTGATACCAGAACACTGGAAAGATATAAAAATTTTTGTGATGAGCGTCCAAAAGTTAAAATATTTGTTAAAATTCCATTTATTGTTTTATTATTATGGGACATGTTTTAAAATACACTCCTTTATATTGCGAACAATTTGATACCAAAAGGAAAGACGTGACGCAAAAATTAATCCAGTGTCAGTGTCACTGGAAAGATAATACTTTTGAAGTCCAAATTTTAAAATATTTGCTAAAATTCCATTTATTGTTCTATTATTGTGGGACTAATTTTAACCACCGTGCTGCGCAAAGTTTATTGTGAAATTCCCACGGTGCGCATAAAATAAAGTGTTCCCCCAATTTTCTTAGCACTTTCGCCCGGGCATGACGCAAAATTGCGTCATCCGTTTACTGGCAGTAATACCGGGGATGACGCAGCATTGCGTCATCCACTTTAAATAATCGCCAAAAATCAGGTTTTTATCCGATTTTTTTGGTACTGGTTTTAAAATGCGCGCCGATGTCTTCCCATTTTCTTTGTTGAGCCTCGTGGCCCTCAGGCGGCTTGGCACACGCCGTGGGCCCATTGTTTTCACTCCACTGTTGTGACCAATGTTGCCTCCCCTCGCATCTCAAACGTGTGAACATTTCGGCTATTTTCCGTGGCTGTATTTCTTACTGCGGCTTTAGAAACTATCTACGCTTACTCCACAATGGACAGTGATCATGAACAAGGCCCTTCCAGGAAGAAAATTGCGAAAGAAAGGCTTGAAAAGGGCGGGAATTGGGAGTGTAGCTGGAAGGCGTCTGAGCGCTCACTTGCGGCTAACGCGTGGCCCGTCTTCAACTCGTCGGCGGTTGGAGCGTGACCAGGTTTTTATTTTATATGCTAATGTTCCTCTAGAGAATTCTATTGCGAACCCATTGAGACCAAAATGAAAGACCTAGGACGAAAATTGAGGTGACCAGAGTGAAAATAGTGAAAACATTTTATCGCTTTTGTGCGCTCCTGGGTAACTCGTTCGCACTTTCTCTGTTTGCTGCGGGTAATTAGCCAGGCTTTTGGAGTTTATATGCATTTAGTGCTGTAGAGAATTCTATTGCGAACACAATGATACAAAATTTAATCTCTTAGGACGAGAATTAAGGTGACAAAGTTGAAGAGAGTATACACTTTTCAGAATTTACGCGCGCTCCCGTGACACCCTGGGTCCCATATCGCACAGTTGAGGGGTGGCGCGCGGGGTGCGCGAAAGTGTTAGTAAAATTATAAATTCCCTTCCCTGAACATGTCTATGTAAAAATAAACACCAAATTCCTCTTACTTTGGCTGTGGGGACATGGACAAAGTGTGCTGTGACGTCATCAGGGCCTGGTCGCCCATGCATGAATTGCCCAGACATGGTCGCCCGGGCCATTCAAGCACCGGGTGTTGCCACAAATATATTTTCAATTATTTGTTCTATGTATTTCCAATGCGGTTTTATTTGTTTTTCTAATCGTATATGATGCATAATTGTGTCCTTTACAATATGTATACAGTAGAATGTTCATAATGATCCATGGAACTGTGATACATGTCAGTAATGTGTCCACAATAAATGTTTATTGTTGAAATATTACTTGTTAAAAATTCACTAAAATTACAATACTGTCTCCACTCGATCATCCGGACTATATGGGAAGGACCCCCAGCCGGATTATCACATTTTTCGGATAATAGTACTTTTCACCTACGAGTCCAAAAGTGACTATTTCCAACTACTTTTATACTACAAACAACATAATTTGAATTGCCTTGCCACATATAATTATTAATATTCAACTAGAAACCTCAACTTACCTTGTTGTTGTTCGTCTTCTTGATTGATGCCACACATCTTGAAGTTAAGAATTCTTGACTGTTTACGTAGCCTATACTAACACAACACTAAAATTAACACTTAAAATTACTGTACAGTTCATTAAGCAAAGTTAGTTTTGACTGCCAGCTGCTGAAGTCTCACTGGTTGAAGGCATTTGGGTTGCCTGTGAGGCCTCACTTGTTGAAGGTGCTTGCATGCACCTCACTTGTTGAAGTGCTTGCATGTCCTCAATTGTTGAAGGCGCTTGGCTTGCCTGTGACACCTCACTTGTTGAAGGCATTTGGCTGCCTGTGACGCCTCACTGGTTGAACAACACATAACTTGTCTTTAATTGCTAGGACAACCTTCTTCCTCTTAACACCTCCAGAACGATTGATGCTGCTACCAGACATAGTCTTGGCCAAAAATGTTCAAAGTTACTATGAAAATAAAAAAGTTATTTAAAAAAATATTTCACTAATGGAGCAGCACTGTGACGCCGCACTGGTTGAGGTGTATAACAGTAACTTGTCTTTAATTGTTAGGACAACTTTCTTCCTCTTAACACCTCCAGAACGATTGATGCTGCTACCAGACATAGTCTTGGCCAAAAATGTTCAAAGTTACTATGAAAATAAAAAAGTTATTTAAAAAAATATTTCACTAATGGTGCAGCACTGTGTATAACACGAGTGACGGGAGCACATTGGTTGACCAGGCCTGGACGGGTCCACTTGGGGTATCTATAACACGTTACGTAGGCCGCCAGGAGGAAAAAAACTCACAATATTTTTGAAGGAAACTTCAGCCTGTGCACATTACTTTTAGGAAACTTATTTATTTATTACATAATTACTAGTACTTATTTTATTTGTTTTTGGCTATGATTAAGTGTTCTAAAATTAATGGTAATTCCTGTACCCAGGTGGTCCCTTCCGACGCACCCCACCCAACCACCCCAACCCCTCCTCCACCATGCGTCTAGAGCCACAGACGGGATTAATACGGTATGGCCAAATATTCATCCGGCCAAACCAGCTTTTATCCGGTTCCTGTGGCCATTTTGGCCGGATATTGTGATAACTTTATCCGATCACGATTTTGGCCGTATAAGGGCGTTTTCCGGATGTTTGAATCCCGGATAATCGCGGGGTTACAGTATATACAGTTTCACACACTATTTACACAGTAATACACTGTATTACACACTCAGTACTTCAGAAGTGAGTGATAATCAACAAAGTAGTCCATGGTGCACAGCGCGACTTTGCTCTCGTTGCACCAGGTACAGATAAATTTTCGCTTCCTGTTTCTTCATTTAGTGTGCTTGCAAATAATTTACTCACGTACATCCTTGGCTTTAGTACTTGTAGGATGTATGTAGTCAAGCTTGCAAAGCATAAGGTAGTATTGAAAAGATTATAGGAAAAAATCAATTTGTAAGGTAGTCTTGAAAAGATCGCTCTGTATGATCCCACACAGGAAGAGATTCAGCTAGCCTCAATGAGTGTCCATCAGTCAGGAAGAGATTCAGGTATTCTTGAAAATATATATGGAAAACACCACCATGGAAGCCGCTAACACTGTTCATCTATGCTACTTGTATCAGATGCATCATCACTGAATGCAGAAAACGATTCATCTATGTATCATCTAAATAAATTGGAGATAGCATAGGATTGCAAGGGTGATGCTCAGAGCTACAACTGGATACGCTCGCTGTATCGTCCTCATAGGTGCTGTATCACTTGCACCTGACCTTTGTGTTAGGTCCTTATTGTGCCTAGCTTCACCAATATTATGACCCTTATGTTCTTCAAACAATTAGGTTTGAATTTCACCGACAGAGAGTTATCTTTCAACACCGCGTCGGACAGGTGTTTGGGAGCCAGAGGCGCGTGCGCCATCTATGGTTGGTTATTCAGTACTAACCTAGCCAGCAGTCCTAGGGCATTTTGGGAATGTTTTCCAAGATGTCTGCCTCTCACTGGAGGTCCTAAGAGTCCATTTCGTACACAACCAACCTCGCACACATTTAGAATGGGTACTGAAAAATCAAGAGTTTTCTCGGTTGGCGCAGTTTCCCGCCAACCGAGAATACTCGGCTGGCGCAGTTAAGTGGTTAAAGGCGTATTTTCTGACTTGAGTACACCAAAATCCTTTACATTGCCTTTTCGTTCAGTTATGATTTGACTGTATTTTGTTGTGATTAGGTGCCCATATCCTAAACACATCAACAAACAGGAAAAGGTGCAAAGACTGGCAACTAAGTGGCTCCCAGAATTGCAGGACAAGAGCTATGAGGAGAGGTTAGAGGCATTAAATATGCCAAAACTAGAAGATAGAAGAAAGAGGTGATATGATCACTGTGTACAAAATAGTAGCTGGAATGGATAAAATTGATAGAATTCCTAAATGAAATTGATGAATTCCTGAGACATGGAACTTCAAGAACAAAAGATCATAGTTTAAATCTAACTAAACAAAGCTGCCAAAGAAATATAAGAAAATTCACTTTCACAAAACAGTGGTAGACACTTAGAACAAGTTAAGTGAGAAGGTGATGAATGCCAAAACTGTCAGTACTGTAGTTTCAGTGCGTTATATGACAAAGAGTGCTGGGGAGACGGGACACCACGAGCGTAGATCTCACCCTGTAACTACATTTACATATTACACTTTTGTAATTGCTATGACAAAATCACAGAAGCATTAGAGGAAAAAAAAGATGTGGATGTTGTATATCCTGACGACGTTGCAAGGGCATTCGATAAGTGTGACCATGGAGTGATAACCCATTAAATGAGATGGATAGGAATACAGTGGTACTTCGGGTTACGAACGTCCCTGTTTACGAATTTTGCATCGAGATACGAGTTTGTTGATATGCATACGGCTGACCTAGTGCATGGTGGCACAGCGATCGCGCCTCAGTTTATCAGTGCCTCGCACCCAGTGACTATCCCTCCTGAATTCTTAACAAGAATTTACAGTTTTTGGTGGGATTTTTGGCTATTTGAGCATAAAAGTTATTATATATCTCGCCATGGGTCCCAAGAAAGCCAGTGTTAAGGTTCAAGGCAAGAAATCACTTGTGAGAATGACCATAGAGGAAAAACAAGAGATCATTCGTAAGCATGAAAATGGTGCTCGTGATGTTGAACTAGCTAGGCAGTACAACAAATCTTCAGGGGAGGAAGAGGAGGCAGTAGAGAATGTCCCTTCCGCATTAATTAAGTAAATGTGTGTAATATGTTAAGGACTGCAAAGTTTTGCTAAAAAAAAAAATCGCCCAGATAAAGCTGTAGTAGGCCGTTGCATTGATCATTTTAATGACAATGTGATGCCTCACTACAGAGAAGTGTTGCAAAGATGGGAAAAACAATCTTCAATGGAATGTTTCCTTGTGAGAAAAGTGAAAAAATCAAGCAGTGAGCCACAACCAGGACCTAGTGGTAGGCAGGCAAAACGTGCCAGAGAATGCACTCCAGAGAAATCTTCACTGCTTGATGTTATAATAGAAGGGGACTCCCCTTCCAAACAGTAATACCTCTCCTCCTCCTCGCTCCTCACCATCTTCCATTCCCCAACAGGAGTCATCAGCAAGGGTAAGTAATAACTTGAACATACTTTTGTAATGAAGATTTGGGTGTATTAGGTATAAAATTTACTTTGAAGTGAAGTTTTTGGGAGTCGGGAACGGATTAATTCATTCCCATTATTTCTCATGGGAAAATTTGCTTCGGTTTATGAATTTTTGGGTTACGAACCGTCTCCAGGAATGTATTAAATTCTTAAACCAAGGTACCCCTGTAATGGGTAAAGTGGGGCATTGGATTTTAATCTTTGTCAGACAATGTAAAGAGTAAAAGTCAGTCAAATAAGATAAAGTCCAAATGCAGTGAAAAGCTCTGTGCCCCAAGGCTCAGTCCTTGCACCACTGCTTTTTCACATTCTTATCTTGGATACATAGACAAAAATACTAATCACAGGTTTGTGTCATCCTTTGCAGATACTAATGCATCCTTTGCAGATGATACAGCATGAAAACTTCCTCTGTAGAAGACACTGAAATACTGCAGGTTGATATTAATAAAACCTTTGATTGGGCAACGGAAAATAACGTTTAACAGTGATACGTTCCAGGTATTATTTAGGTATGGTGGAAGTGAGGAACTTAAATGAAATACAGAGTACGGGACTCAACTAGACTTGCCTATAGACGGAAAGTAATATGTAAAAGGTCTGGTAATTATGATGTCTGATGACCTGGCATTTAGTGAACATAACCAAACAAATATAGTGGCGGCCAGGAAAATGATAGGATGAAATATGAGAACATTCAAATCCAGAGATCCAACAGCAATGATAATACTGTTAAATCACTGGGGCTGTCCCATCTTGAGTACTACTCAGTTCTCGCTTTCCCATTCAGAGCAGGAGAGATTGCTGAAATAGAAGGAATATAGAGACCCCATATCAAATGCATCGACATGATAAAACACCTAAGTTATTGGGACCGTCTCGATGCTCTCAATGTAATCTTTGGAAAGGGGACGAGAGAGTTATCAAATTATATGCTGTACATGGAAAATACTGGAGGGGTAGGTCCCAAATTTGCACAGTAGAACAACAAAATGCTGGAATGAAAGATACAGAATAGAACCAGTTCGTAGTAGAGATGCTATGGGTACAACTAGAAAGCACTGTCTGAACATCAGAAGTCCACAGCTGTTCAATATTTTACCAGCAAGCATTAAAAATATTACCAGAAAAAAGGTGGATGTCTTCAAGAAGCTGTGAGATAAGTTCTTGCAAGAAGTGCTGGACCCACTGGGCTGTAGTGGATAAGCAGTAGCCTGTTGGACCAAGTTAACACAAGTCAAGCCTGGCCCTAAACCGGGCTCGGGTAGTAGAACTTCCAGAACCCTCTCCCGGTATACCCTAAGAATTATTCTGAATCATAGACCCACCATCTTGGGTCCAGTGTCTTTTTCATCTTTTAATGTGCAAGACATTATTGGTTTCATTCCATGTTAGATAAATTAAATGATTTGAATGTAGCTTTTAAGTTTAGTTTTAATTTTGACTTAAAGTAAGTTTATGGTATTGTAATATTTTGTTAAATAATTTGTGATAATTTTTCTCAAATTGCATAGTTCTTTAGTAGCACATCATGTTCCATAGCGCTTAACTGAATTACTGTCATGGAGGAACAGCATTACTGTAAATACTTTAGCTGTATTGTAGTAATATTTCCAAAGTTCTATTATTACCTATATAAACTAAGAGGTTCTAGCTTTTGGATAATTGTGAATAAAGCTTTAATGCAGTTATTCAATAACTTGTCAGTAAGTATGTAGTAAGGTAAAAAAGTTAAATTTTTTCCCACCAGTTGCCACGATGCCGAGAGTGTGACGTCAGATATTTCGGATCCAGCAGAAGTGTGTGGTAGCAGTAGTGTGCGGCGGTACAATCACTTAGGAGGCAGCGGCGACGTGTGTGATAGTTCAGACTGTGATATTGGCACTACTCAAAACCTGGTGCCCAACAGTGGTCTTCAAACACTACACTGTGATACCTCATCTAGCTTGGAGAAGAATCACCTTAATGATTCTCTCAGGCATGAAAAGAACCAACGCTTGCTAGCCATTAGAACAGAAAAAACTGAGCCTAGTGATCTGGAACTACCTTGTGGTTCAGTTTCTCATTCATCTCTGGTTAAACTAGAAGATATTATTAAGGAGACAAAAACTTCTAATGTTAATGTTTTAGTGAAAGATAATCCAGCAAATAATGAACTTTTATTTGACTCTGAAAAATATGCTAAATATGATAAATCAAGGTTAAAAAATAGTTTAGATAACTTAAGTAAATCTGGAACAAAACGTGTTAAAGAAGTTAATCTTCTTCATGAAAAGAGAGGATGCCATTCGATGGTCATTGAAGGAGAATCTGACAGTGAGGAAGTAGATAACAGGGATGATCTTTTAATAAACAAACGCATACGTCTGGATGAGAAAAATGTTCAATACGAGTTAGAAAATTACCAAGTGGCAGTGGAAAGAACTGTGGATAGCTCGACATCTCTCTCTGGAAGTGATTTGCACGTAGTTCCAACTCCTTCAGTCTCCTCACACGAACAGCGCCAAGCCGAGTTAACGTGGCGATCTTTTATAGGTGATGCCAAAAGTGCTGTTGTAGAAACATTTTATGGACAGTTTAAGAGCTCGGTAAGCTGTGCTAGAATTATTTATGTTTATTTAAATTTGTGTTAGTTTTGTACTGATTTTTATTAGTCAATGTCAGTGGTAACCTTAGTTGTACTGTAGTTGGATTCATAGTTTGAATTTTAAAAGTATTAATTTGTAATGTCTTAAAATGGTATATATTTTCAGTAAATCATAATATGTTAAGCATTATTTTCTACATAATACATTTATTTGTAACTATTACTATATTTTTACAACAGATGGTGTGCTCTGCGTGTGGACACAAGTCTGTCAAATATGATCCATTTGGAACCCTTTCTGTGCCTCTTCCATATGCTAATCAAATTCAGATATGTAAGTACAGTACTGATTATTGATGAATATATAAAATTGGGGAAAGGGAAAACTACTTTTCTGTTTAATCTGTGGTTTAAATTGCATAGGTGCAGTTACATATCGACATTATGTAGGAATCCATCATACTTAAACTTTTTTTGCTTTATTCCATTTCCTTTCCCTTTGAATTTCAATAATGCCCTATGGTTACCTTGAGGTGCTTCCGGGGCTTAGCGTCCCCACTGCCCGGTCGTCGACCAGGCCGCCTGATCGGTCATAAGTGGTCATGATCATAAGAAATGTACAGCACATGTGTATGGTCCTAAGAAATTGTGGGGAAAACTCATTAGCAGGATTTAATTATTTATTTTAATTATTATTTATTAAGTTATTTATATTTAATTTGCTATTAATTTTTACTTGAGAGTGGACTGTATGGTTTGAATTGTCCCACTAGTAGCTTCCCTTCACATATTTGGGGAGGTTAATTATATGTTTTATCAATCAAAATTGGTTGATTTATAAGTTCTGCTGATTAATCTACGATTACACGAAAGTTAATTTAAGACTTGGCTAGAATGTAGCCAAGGCTGCATTTGTAGAATGCATCCTGTATCACAGTAATGGACGTATCTAGACCACGTGAACTCGGTCTTCTCATTGACCATGAGGCTCGTGACATCGTCCCGTGTCATGTGATAAACAATCAGGAGTTTGCCAGTATTTTTTTCCCTCACAATTTCACCTGGCAAAAGTTTACACTGTAGAGATGTAACAACAAATATATGGCAGATATGCCATGAGGAAAAGTTGTTAATTTCTTAGTAGATGCTTACCCATTCTGGGTGGCAGTTCCTGCAACATAACCAGTTAACACTATCGCGTGCCGGGTATGCGCGCCGCCAACTTAGAGGTCACGTTCCCAATGTGCGGGCGAGTGTGCGGCGACACTAAAATGTGTATACTCGTTTTAGTTTTCTTACCTTAATTCTCGTGCTGCTTCGTTAGTTTTGGTATCATTGTGTTCGCAATAAAATTCCCTACAGGTGTATATGCATAAAATGTACAAAAGCCTGGTGTGACTCCCAACAGCAAAGCCTAAATTCAGCAAAAGTTACCCATGAGGGCACGAAATCAGTAAAATGTGTTTACTCATTTCAGTTTTCTCGCCTTAATGCTTGTGCTATGTCGTTCGTTTCGCTATCATTGTGTTCACAATTAAATTCCCTGCAGGTGTATATGCATAGAATGTACAAAAGCCCGGCGTGATTCCCTGCATCCCTGCAGGAAAGCCTAAAGTTACCCGTAAATGAGCACCAATTGGCACACCACAACCTAATGTGTGTACTCGTTCAGTTTGATAACATCAATTTTTGTGTTACATCTTTAATTTTGGTATCAAATTATTCGTAATATAAAGGTGCGTATTTTAAAACTAGTCCCAAAATAATAGAGCAATAACTGGAATTTTAAAATATTTTAATTTTGTACACTCATCACAAAATTATATCTTTCCAGTGTTCTGACATAAATTTTTGTGTTACATCTTTCATTTTGGTATCAAATTGTTCGCAATGTAAAGATGCGCATTTTAAAACTAGTTCCAAAATAATAGCACAATAAATAGAATTTTAACAAATATTTTAATATTTTGACCAAAAACGTATTTATAATCTTTCAAATGTTCTGACATCATGTTTCGTGTTACATCTTTCATTTTGGTATCAAATTGTGTACACTCTAAGGGCGCTTATTTTGAAACTATTCCAAACTCGATCGGATAAAAAATGAATTTTATACAAATATTTTTGTATTGGATGCGAGTGCTGTCCACAGCTAGGACTCAAAAGAAAAAAAGTGGACATGAGCATCATCCATGGCCGTCGATACTGTTAACAATAAGTTTCTGGATTCCAAACTATAATCTATATAGATGTGACAGAGTAATTAGGTCAAGTCGAGGAGTAGGCCTGTATATTAAAGAGCTGGCACGCACAGAGCTCCTGAACTCGAGCAATGAGGTGGTAGAGGTACTTGGAATCAAAGTAGAAAATATATCTAATTATGATTTTAATAAACAATCTGCCAGATGCAACAGTTGAGGAATTCACTGAACAGATCCACAAAATAGAGAATATCCTCGATAACCTAGTAAACCCAGTACCAGATATCTTCCTTGGGGACTTGAATCTACCCAGTTTAAAATGGAGAATAGTAAACTGTAACATTATAGCAGGAATTCAACCTGGAAATAACCAACCACAGGCCAGAGAACTACTGAGATTCTGTGATAAATTCTCGCTCAGTCAGATTACAGAACCAACTAGGAACGAAAACATGCTGGACCTGATATTCACGAGCACTGATGCACTAATCAGAGACATTGCTGTCTCAGATACTACGTACTCGGACCACAAGCTCATTGAATTGCAAACTAACATTGATAACAGTAGTAGGCCCAAGAGAAACAACAAGTGAGAAGGGTTATTCAGTGAATTCAATTTTAATAATAAAAGGATAGACTGGGAGAAAATAAATAGGGAATTTACAAACATTCAATGGAAAAATGTTGTAAGAAATAAAAATCCTACACAAGGAATAGAAAAACTGACTTTTGAAGCATATGAAGTCTGTCTGAAACATGTTCCTTTGAGGAAAGCCAGAAAGAGGTTCAATGTAGAAAGAGAACGCAGACGACATTACAAAAGATGGAAGAAATTAACGGAAATGCTTAAGCAGATGCGACTTTCCATACAAATGAGGAATAATTTAAACAAGGAGATTGAAGAAATCGAACAGAGACTGAAGCATTCCTATCAGACCGAAGAAAAGCAACTAGAACAGAAAGCAATTCAAGAAATAAAGAAAAACCCAAGATATTTCTTCATATGTTCTAAATCAAATGCAAAAACCACTGCCAGTATTGGACCTATTAGTATTAGTGAAGGTTCATATACTGTGGATGACAAAGAAATTAGTGAAATCCTATAAAAGCAGTATGAGGACATGTTTAGCACTCCAATAAACAGCATGAAAGTGGAAGACCCAGACAACTTCTTTATGTGTGATATCCAAACACCTGTAAATATAACTGATATCAACACGAGCGTAGCAGATTTTGAAAGAGAAATTGACAACATGCCCATGCACTCAACCCCGGGTCCAGACTCATGGAATTCAAATTTTATAAAAAATGCAAAGTGCCAGTAGCACAGGCACTCAGTGTAGTGTGGAGGAAGAGCTTGGACACAGGAGAGATACCAGATGCACTTAAAGCAGCAGACATTGCCCCTCTACACAAGGGAGGAAGCAAAGCATTGGCAAAGAATTATAGACCAGTTACACTAACGTCCTACATAATAAAAGCATTTGAGAGAGTGTGATCAGGAGTCAGGTCACTAGTTTCATGGAGACCAATGACCTCCACAATCCAGGACAACATGGATTTAGCGCGGGAAGATCATGCCTCTCACAACTTCTTGACCACTACGACAAAATCACTGAGGCACTAGAAGAAAAACATAATGCAGATGTTGTTACACAGACTTTGCAAAGGCATTTGACAATTGTGACCATGGAGTGATAACACACAAAATGAGGTCAATGGGTATAACTGATAAAGTATGATGCTAGATACTCAATTTCCTGTCGAACAGAACACAGGGTAACAGTCAATCAAATAAAATCTAGTCCAAGCGCAGTTAAAAGCTCTGTACCTCAAGGTACAGTCCTTGCATCACTGCTGTTCCTTATTCTCATATCAGATACAGACAAAAATACAAGTCACAGCTTTGTGTCATCCTTTGCGGATGATACAAAAATCAGCATGAAAATTATCTCTGCTGAAGACACTGAAAAACTACAAGCAGATATTAACAAAGTTTTCAATTGGGCAGCAGAAAATAACATGTTTAACAGTGATAAATTCCAGGTACTCAGGTACGGCAAAAATGAGGCACTGAAACATAATACAGGGTACAAACACAATCGAATCTGCCCATAGTAGGAAAACAGCATGTCAAGTATTTGGGAATAATGATGTCCGACAACCTAACGCTTAGGGAGCATAACCAAGCAAATATTGCATCAGCCAGTAAAATGATAGGATGGATTACGAGAACCTTTAAATCCAGAGATCCCATCACAATGGTTGTACTCTTCAAATCACTTGTGTTGTTCCATCTTGAGTACTGCTCAGTACTCAGTACTTCCCCCTTTTAGAAAAGGAGAGATTGCTGAAATAAAGGGGAATACAGAGAACATATATGGCACGCGTAGACGAGATAAAGCACCTAAATTATTGGGATTGTCTCAAAGCTCTCCAAATGTACTCATTAGAAAGGAGACGAGAGAGATACCAAATAATATTCACATGGAAAATACTGGAGAGCCAGGTCCAAAATCTACACAGTAAAATAACAACGTATTGGAGTGTATGATATGGAAGAAAATGCAGATTAGAACCAGTAAAGAGCAGGGGTGCCATAGGCACAATCAAAGAACACTTTATAAACATCAGAGGTCCGCAGTTGTTCAACGTCCTACCAGCGACTATCAGAATATTGCCGGAACAACTGTGGACATCAAGAGAAAACTAGACTGTTTCCTCCAAGGAGTGCCGGACCAACTGGCCTGTGGTGGGTATGTAGGCCGCTTCAAGCAACAGCCTAGTGGGCCAAACTCTCACAAGTCAAGCCTGGCCTCGGGCCAGGCTTGGAGAGTAGAACAACTCCCAGAACCCCATCAACCAGGTATAACAAGACTGGCCAAAAATGCTCTTCGGTACTTAAATCTAGTTAACCGGATGCAGGTGTTTATCCCGATGTTTAGCGTAGTCTTGGCTACAATTAACGTCTCTGGTGTAAAACGCAATATAATTAGTGGGAGGCTCACGCAGGCGTGTGGTCTCTTGCGAGTAATCGTAAATAACAATGGCGTCTCCTTCCTCCCTGCTCAAGCAACGTGTTTCAGGAACGGTTCTATTTCTGTCCACTTGTTGACAATGGGAAAGAGACCTT